AATTTGTTTCAGCAAATAGTGCTTGTCAAAAGCAGGATATTTTTGCCTTAGGACTATTACAAAGATCATATTAGACATATTGATAATTAGCAGTCTGTGTCTCAGCATTACAATGGCTCCATGTAACAACACAATAATTTTCCCAAGCCAAAACTATAACTATAAATTACACAGACATGTCCAGCTAATCTTAAAAATAAACCCACAAAGCAGCAGTACAATGTGCTTCAGAACACTGGGAGCTCACCTTGTTCAACTCTATTGCTTTTAGAAGAAGTTCTGACACCAGAATAAGCTGTGGAGGGACCGGTGCCAGGTGTGGTGATAGCTGGTTGCACCAGGGGAAGTTTAGATTGGATGTTAGGAAAAATTTATTCATGGAAAGAATTGTCAAGCCCTGGAACAGGCTGCCCAGGGCAGTGGTGGAGACATCATCCCTGGAGGGATTTAACAGAAATGTAGATGTGGCACTTAAAAACATGGTTTAGTGGGGGCTTGGGAATGGTTGGGCTTGATGTTTTATCTGCCCTGGCGTTAGAAATTGCTACCAATGGGTGATTTTGCCACTGTGATCCACATGTGAGGAAAGAAAGGGCAATGCATCTCATTCCTCTGTTAAGAAAAAGAAATTATGGAAAAATGAAAAATAAATTTTAAAAAAATCACATAAACAATTTTTAGGCTTGAGAAAATGCCTTGCCTTGAGAGAATAAAATATACATAGCAAATCATTAAGAAGCCAATGTGTCCAATGGACTGAAATAATTTTACAGAGAGAAAATACTTAGAAATTTTGGCTGTGGGACAAAGCTGGCATCCTATGTGCCAATGGTAGGATGCCAGAACCAGCCAGCTTCAAAGCTGAAGCTGTGTTTTACACAGAGCTGACTTTGTGCTGAGCCAGCTTGGGAAGTGGAGAAGTGCTGAGGGAGCAGGGCTGGCTGGCCCTTGCTGTCTGAGTCAGGGTGGGCACCTTCCTGGAGGAACTCAGCTGTTTGGACACTGCACGCGATGCTGTCTGCGCTGGGGCTCGATGTGCTCAGGGCTGGAGAAGGAGACCAAGCTGAAGCTGAGCTGCCTGGCAGGACATGGAGCAGTGCACATCAGTCACGAGGAAGAAAGGGGTGGGGAGAGGGCTGGCAGAGAAGTTTTGGGTGCCCCAGCAGGGCCAGGCTGGACAGGGCTTGGAGCAACCTGGTGTAGTTGAAGGTGTCCCTGCCCATGGCAGGGGGCTGGAATGAGATGAGCTTTAAGGTCCCTTCCCACCCAAATGATACTGTGATTCTATGATAATAAGGCAGTAATTAGCCTCTCTTTGTGGCCCGACAACTCATCAGATGTCAGCATTTTTGACACTATTTTAATTATATTTGATTCAATATGAAACTAAGAAAATATGAAACTAAACCCAATGCAACATTCCAAATATAGAGGAACATAACATAGCAGCTCATATGAAACTGTCTGCAAAACAGGGCTGATGTCCAGCTGAGGAAAATTCATTGTTAATGCTCAGAACAGCTTTGACAGGTACAGAAGGAACTGGCTTGCAGGAGCAGCTGTGCCAAATAGGATGACAATTAAAAGTAGGAAATAGAGTTGTTCAAAAAACCCTACCACCCCAAATTCCTAGCCAATGCCTTATTTAAAGAAAAAGAAAAGGGAGCTGCCAGCCTGGTTCTCCTGCCTGACTCAGCTCAACTCAGGCTTTGCCAACCCTAAAAGCAAATCCTCTGAAGAAATGATGAACTTTCCGTCACAGAAACTCCAGCTTCTGAAAGCCCATTAACATTGAGTTTACTGTAGCCTTAAATAAAACATTAAAAACTCTCTCTGCAATACCCCTTGCAGTAAACTCCTCTCCAGGTAACTTCACACCCTGCTGTGACTGCAGGTGATCGCAGCGCCAGCTGTGGTCACACTCTCTTTTAATTGAAGAGAAACTGAGGAACACACAGCTCAGGACTGGGTATCTGATGGCACAGGGGTGATGTGGCCATCAGGCCGTGCCTGGCACACCCGTGTGCAACAGTGGCAGAAAGCTGTGCTGACCTGGGAACTGGAGCCGTGCTTCTGGAAATGCCAGTGGTCTGACCTTTGGAAATTGGGATGCTGCTGGTTTGATTTAGTGCTTGTCTTGTTTACGAGGCACAGCTGGCTCTCTGCTCTTGCTGTGCTCTCTGCCTTCATCTGATGGCTTTGGAAAAGTGTCAAAGACACCATAGACTGCCAAAGGTTAGTGAAGTGCTGAAGTGCTTAATTAAACAAGCCTCTGGGATGTGGCAATTTGCTTGATAGGAGAACCACACCAGGACTCTTTTTATTTTTCTTTATTTTTGTTTTCTTCTAAAGTTAGTACTGTGAACTGGATTTTTTTTCTTTTTCATGCATTTTGTTTTCAGCTACAAGCATTTTGAAAATATGACCCACAATCCCTATATTTCCTAAACTCAAGATGAGACATGGAAAAGCCTTTTGTGCGACTCAGATAAGTTTTCATCTTTTTTCATGATTTTCTGGAATAAGGGGCAAATAAAATCACAAGGGAATAGTCCCCAAATGTGGAAAGCTTCTTTAGTAGCCAGTCACGTCTGTGAGGACTGTAAGTCACCTGAGCATCCTGTGCCAAGGCACCGAGGGTCATTAACAGCACTGTGAAGGCACCACTACATCTTCCCTCAGGGCTGCATGGTGATGACCTTTTGCTGCCACAGAACTGAGTAATTGGCATTAATTCAGCTGGTGCAGAGAGCAGATTGGGCCAAGAACTTAACAAGTTGTACTGGTCCTGCCCAAACCATCCTGCTCTGCTTGTACAGGCTGTAAATCTCACAGCACTGTACTGGGCAGCCAGAACTCAGGGTATGCTGGCCAATGCATTAAGCTGGGCTGCACAGCCAGCTCACATTGCATGGGATAAAAAACATAAATGAATGTAAGGTCTGTATTTGCAGGTCCTTCATCAGATGGCCCCAGCCCAAAATCAGTCAGCCCCCATCACTCATACATGACTCCAGGTCAGCACCTTTGCTTTTTTTGGGGCAAATCCTGTTTTCTAGCACATGTGAGCAGATTTAAGATTCCTGCCTGCCTGTCATTCTTCTCTGTTTTCAGGCTTATTAAAAAAATCTTTATAGCCTTGTTATTTTATTCTTTTAGAAACAAGTGTTAATAAACCAACCAACCAAACCCCCAACCCTCTTGTTGGAGGCAGGATAAAAAAGAGTGACATTTCAGGTGTGTTTTTCTTCCACTAGCAGAGAGGAGCAGTCCATTCCTTGGCTTGCAGTGCTTGGCTGGGAATTTGTCTGGGCTTCCACACCACACACCATCACATCACCTTGTGTATTAAAGAAACACATGAGTCTTCCTGGTCTCCAAATGGAGAGATGTCCCTGTCTTTTATTTCAGTCTACTTCAAAAAGTTAACAAGGGATAGAATATAAATAAAAATCCCTCTCTGCAGAAGAGGTTGGGGGAAGTTTGCAGCAGCCAGGTGAGTGGGACACCACAGTGATGGGCAGGAGCTGTGCCCACATCATGTCTGAAATGCCTTGTGCTACAGGTGCACAAAAGGGAAATCAGATGTGACAGGCAGAGAGGATGCACTTCTGTAGGTTGGAGGGGAGCTTGCCAGGCTGGGAAATGAGCTCCAGTGAGCAAACAGCAGCACTGGAAGAGCCAATTGCAAGACTGATCTCTGTTTCCTACACACGGACTTTGGTGGGGTTTTTTTGGTTTCTTTTGGGCCCATGAGAAAATGCACAAAGCAGAGAGTGAAGTGATGGGTGCTGGTTTCAGATGGGAATCCCATAAAGAAGGCCAGTGCTGCTGCTTGCCTTGCATAATGCACTTCCTTAAGAAAAGCAGGATTTACCCCCAGGTTTTCTAAGAAAGCAATTACTGGAGAGTGAGGCAGTGAGTCATAAGGGTACAGGGCAGAAAGGGAAATTCCTGAGTCCTGGGGGTCAGTGAAGGGTGGCAGCTGCACCTGTACCCTGAGAGAGAGTCACAAAGCCTTGTACAGGGAGGGACAAAGGTGGTCTTAGGGAAAAAAATACCAAGGCATTACGGCTTGCCCACATCTCTTATGAATATCCAGGTTAATGCATATCTGTCTCTCCAGCCTCTGTTCCTGCTCCTTTTGTTGACCTGCTGTAGGGTCATACGGGGAATTAGCCATTATCTCCTTACAGAATGAGATCTTGACCTGTTTTATCTGTTTTACACAGCACCCAGTGCACTACCAGGCACTCAGGCAATTAAGACCTAATCATGCTATAAATCAAGTAAATAAGTACCTGTCAACAGGTCGTCAGGACTGGTGTTCCTCTTGGGCAAAGCTGTGTTCAAGGAGGTCAATGCAGCAAAATGGCCCAAGGCCTTCAAGGCAGTGTTTTTCAATAGCCCCTCATGAAATCTCTTTTGCAGGGGGACCAACCCACGCTGCCAGTTCCCATCTCCCACCCACTCTGCAGACAAGCCCACCAAAATATATTGGTACTTCTACTGATTTTTTTTAGTGGTATAAAAAAATAAAGTATTTAATGATAAGAATATGTCAACCATGGCAGATTCCAAATGAGGGACTTGAGAGTTTTGCTTCCAGCTTAAAAGTGGATGGCTTCTGAACAGGAACTTCCTTTAAGAAAGTGAAAATATAGAGAGAAATACTGAGACAAACCAGCATTTCTATCCTACTGCAGTTTAACCTCAGAGATGAATGGCAAATGCATCTGATCTTGACACTGCAGTCTTAGTGGGCAACCAAGGATTATTTTCCCCATGATTCTAGTGTCAGAAGATCCTACTGACATATGAGTGTATAAGTTAATGAAAAGATCATTAATTCAATTTAGATCAATTTTGATTAATCACCATGATTAATTAATAATTTAGTAACTAGGAATTAAGTGTGAATTGGTGGAGAACAAAAAGGATAGTGAAAGAAATTGCCCACAAGGAAATGTAGTCTCTTTTTGACAAAGCTGAAAGGCAAATATGAGTTGAAACATTTTTTTGAATATATATAAAATTTCTATGTTGTAAAAAAAAAAATATCAGAGTAACAAATGTGCAGCACTTTAATGTCAGATTTGACTGTCATTGGAACTGTTCACAAGTAGTGTGGACAATCTAAATTATACTTCATTTTCTAAGTATGATATATAACCATTAGGATACTTTAGAAAAACACATCACCGGAACTTGGGCTGGAGAGGGAACAAAGGGAACATCTTTGGAAGGTCCATGTGGGATTTTTTCAAGTGAATGTTATTCCAATACTTTGCAATAAACAGGAAAAAGTGAGGTCTGTTACACATCTTTCACAACCTATATATAAACCAGCCTCAAGAATATTTACCTGAACATATATATACACTTTTTTTTTTTTAAATATTCTTAAAAAAGTAATATTTGCTTGATCTATGACACAATGAACATCTCTACAGGGAAAACTTACCATAGGCATAATAAAATACTCAAGAAGTCATAAAAGATAACACGAGAGCAGTGTTTGGCCTTGGTAAAACACATTTAGGATGGCTGCAATGTATGGATACAACTTTGTTCAAGAAAGGAGCTGTGCATATTTAAAGGTACTTACAAAGCTGGTCTTCTCCTTTCTTTGACATGGGATATGTTTTCTAATGGGATGAATACAAAATCATGGACACCATGCATTGCTGAAGGAAATCTATGCCCATCTGTCTCACATGTCTGTGTTGCAATGATAGAAGAGTCTCTTCTAACTCCTATGGCTCATAAGTGAAAGAAATGTAGGACAGCACACGGATGTTGAAGGACAATTTCAAGGACTCCATGGTTAATGAATTCATAGGATTCAGCTCCCCTTCTTTGTCTGTTGGAACAGATTTTTATATTCTCTATAGAACTGAAATGGTGTAAAATACCTCAGGTCTACAGCCATGCTAGAATGCTGCTCTTCTGATAAAGTTAAACACTTAAAGCAAAGATTGCCAGTGTTATTCTGTTTCCTTCTTGCTTAAAATCCCTCTGTGTATGTTGTGGAATGGGTGACTTAAAGCATCTGTGGAGGGAAATAATTACACCTCTACCTATCACTGCACGTGTTCAAAGGCAGCTTTTTGCAGACTCTGGGCAACAAGGTCCTTGGCAAACAAAGCTGGGTCTGTCCAGAGGCCAATGGGTGGCTCCAATGCTACTGATATTTTACCTGCAGAGAGGTTTCACCCACCTGAAGACCCCATTATCCAAGTGATGGTTACAACGGCTTGGGTGGCACCACTTCTTGCCTGGCTCTGCTGCCACAGCTGCTTTTGCCCTCCTTACTTCATAGTGATGGATATAGAAAGTTAGAAAAATGCAAATAGAAAAGTTTTTTATATCTTCCAAGTGTGCAAATAAATGGCTGTATGTTTTTATGGGGACTCAACTGAAATTTCTCAATGCCAGCTGTTGCATTCTTGGATAATTCAGCTGCTTTTACATGAATGTCTTTGCTCATAACTAAAAGATAATTGACTATAAACAAGTGTACTATAAACAGAAAGGAAAAAAACAAGGAAAAATTGTTTCCTACTTGTTCTGAAAAGAAACAGGCAAATTAAGGCTATGACTAGAAAATGAGTGAGTTTTCTATTAAAAATAACCTCTGTTATTTTAACTGTTATTTTATGAAGAACCAAGTGATTCCAGTGCTCCTAAATGCTTAATGAGGGAAACCAATGATTTCTAGAACTGTTGCTGTCTCCTATGGGAATAACCATAACTAATTCTCTACCCCCACAGAGTAGATTTTGCATATTGTTCCCAAACTGACCACACTCATGAGCCGTTGAAAGACTAATGCCACCTTCTCAACAAAATTGTTTACATAAACTCTGACCCCCCCTGTCAGTATTTTCCAGCTTTTACCCAGGCCTGGATGGGTAATGGCCTGGATATTTCATGGCAAATTTCTCAAATACAATCACACAAATGTGCACTGGAAGAGGGGGGACTCATCCCATTGCCTTCAGTAGGACCAAGAGCAAAATGAAGTGCAGAAGCAAGCGAGCTGACAGTTACTATTTCTGTGATGCCTCCTTCTGAAATCACATCAGTGAACCCTCTCAAAGCCATCCTGCAGAGAAAACTGATCAGTTTTCATTAAATCGCTTTCCTAGGATTCTCTGGGTTGAAAACTGCTCTGATGTTTACTTTCCCTCATCATCCAAAGGTGAATATTCAAAGGTGAATAGTTCTCGCTGCTGCTGTCTCCTGTGCTGGGGTGGGGTAGTCAGTGCAGCCAACAGGCAAGGGATACAGGGAAGAAAACTGATGTTAGGACAGAACATAAAAGCTCCTCAGTATGGAAAGTCAAAATCTGTTTTGTTCTACAGAATTATTAGGTTTCGTGGCTTGTATGATATCTCAGTGGAGATATTATTTGCTTCCCAGCATTTTTCTCATAACCACAAATCATACCCACAAATAAAAAATATCCCTTCAAAACCACTTCCTATTAGCAGAGCATACTTTATAATATAAAACTTGCAAGTAGACCAGTGTTGTACCATGAAGCCTATACAGCGTTTTTTGTCTTTTTGTTTTCCCAGTGTAAAAATATACAATGCTACTGCTCATTTCCTGCAGTGTAAAGGTCCAACTGGTCCTTGCCTGCCAAAGGCTCCGCTGCTTCTGCCCTTTCATACCTCCCCAACCCAGACCACTGTGTTTCCCCTCCTTATACCTGAAACCTCACAGCGTAACGTATTTTGCCTCCCATTTATAACAAACAACGAATCTTTAGCTGGTGTAATGAGATACTGTCCAAACAATCCACTGTCTTTCATAATTCTGTTGTTGCTGCTCCAGGGCCAGTCTTTGGACGTGATAGGGTCCTTTAAATTCTTCAGTACATTCATCCTCCCCGTTGACAGCTCCACAAAAAGCACATCTGTTTGCAAATGTGAAGTAGCGTATATATAGTACTGATTGCCTTCAGTGAACGAGGGCTGAAATGTCAGATCGGACACGTGTATGTTTGTTTTTAAGTCATAAATCAACTTGATTTCCCCCTGGACGCTGAGGGCCTGGACGGTGATGGCGCCGCTGGCGCGGTCGGCGCTGACCAGGTAGCGCCCGTCGGGGGAGACGTGGGGCGCGCCCGCCACGCGGCCGTTGGGGCCGACCACGGCGTCGGTGACGCTGTCGATGACGAGCTGCAGTGAGGCGGCCCCCGGGCGGCTCCTCCTGCACTGCACGAAGTAGTAACCACCCAGGTGAGTGTAGGCCATGGCCTGAGGCACGCAGCCGTAGGCCTTGAGGTGGATGGTCTTGATGTGCGTCACAGTCTCCAGGTCGATCTTGTGGACCGCGTGCTTGGAATGGTTGAAAATGAAGCCAAACCTGAAACGGAAAACAAGGCACTGAGGTCACCTTTGGAGATGCGGTGACAGGCTTGAGCAAAGATAAAAGTCAGCAGAGTTGGGGACATTCTATTGGTTGGTTTTGGGAGTGTCTGCAATAATGGGGACCTTTTATTGGTTAGTTTTGGAAGCGCATGCAACAATGCTGTCTCTTTTTGTAAGAAATGTCTTGTTTTAGTGCCTCTAAAACATCCTAGAAGGAGGGATATATTTCAGTTCAAATTAGCAACCTGATCCTGGAAATTTGGACATTTGCTTAGCTGTTTGAATTTTTGAGAGCCGAAATCTTCTATTGGGATTTAAAGATTGGGCACAAAATGTTGGGATATGCAAATGAAACAGCAGCTTTATATTGGGAACTTATTGGGAAGACCAATTTCTATAGAAGTGAAATCAAGTTTTGGGTGTTCAGTCGGCTAACACTGACCAGGTATGTACTTAATCTGTCTGAGATTACAGTAATGAAATTCAATATATACGAAAACATTCAATCCCAAAATAGAAAAGCATTTAAAACAAAGCATATTGGTTGGGGTCAGAGAGTAATTATATTAATAAATAATTATAAGTAATAAATAATTATAAGTAATTATATATAATAAATATAGCTGTCTACAATATAATGTATAACCACTGAATGAAGACCATATCTGATCTCATCTCTTAACTGACAGCACCAGAGGGAAGCTGTGGTGTGTGTTTGGTACCCATGGTGCCTGGGAACCACTGCAGGAGATGGCAAGGCTGTGGTGCAGAGCAGACTCTTAAAAACCATCCTGGCAGCCCAGGGAAGGTGTAAAACATTTCTTGAGGAACATAACCAGGGTGCCCTGAAGATAAGGGGTCTTCATTTTCTGTCTCAAGACAGGGCAAAAAACAGTGAGCAGAGGATAAATGTTCCATAAAAGATATATACTGCAGCACATCTGACCTTTGCTGAAGACAAGAAAAGGTCAAGAATAGCCAAGAAAGGTTTCTGCTTAATTTGAGAGGGAGCCCTTAGAAACAGCCTGCTTGTGTTCCACTGCATTCACTGACACTGACTTACAAAAACTAATTTTACATCAACTGTATTTTCATCCATTCAATGCAGACAGAGGGAAATGAAGTGAGTGCTTAGTGTTGTATCTCTTCCTCAGAAGATGTAAAATTGCCTTGTGAAATGTGGAGAACAACGTGCTTCTGTGCAGAAAATACATATTTTGCTTGAAACACTAGGTTTATTTCTTTATTCTTAATCCATCTGTCAATGAGACACTCAGCAATGATTTCACTTCTAAAGGATGAGCCAGTGTAGTGTGTGATCCCATGAAAATCACTGGGCTAAGCCTTTCATTTCCCCATTATTCTCACATCCATTAGAGGCTTCACAAAGTATCTGCAGTGGAGAGTCGGAGTGCACTGTGTGTGTGGAAATTGGATATGACACTTGTATTTCTCCTGGATGAATGAATTTTAAGTACACTTTAAAAAGTGCCTTCCCTTACAGCTCTTTTTTTTTTCCCCAAGACTTCCTTAACACTTGGCCAAATGCCTGAAGAACTTAAGAAATTATCTTTATCATAAACTCCCGTTTAAAGAAGTGGGTCAGGATATATTTTATGTGCCCACAGTTGCAGAAGAGGCTCAGCCCTTTCATGAAATCTGTGATCTGAAATCTCAAAGCAAACCTTGTACTTAGAGAGTTTTTAATAGACAACAGTCTACCCTTGGAACTAATAAAAATGGACACATTTCTAGATATCCATCTAAAATAAGAGGCAGCTGAAATACATATGCAGGAGTATTTGCATACAAACATTATTTGGCTAGTGGAAGAAATTGCTTAAATGTTCACCTTCCTGGGAAAGGCTGGTACTGCCATTTATTGTTTCTGAGTGGAGAATTTAGAAAATCATCCCAATGAGTCCCATTAGCCTGCAAGCAATTATTTTTTTCTGTGCTGAGGGTGAGAGAGAACAGACAAAGAACTGGCCCCGAACAAATGCAACAGGAGATCAGGACTGCATCTGCAGCTTTGCATATGGAAAACTATGGACAGTAATCTATATTTATTATTTCAGCTGACTAATCACACTGAAGCAAAAGGACAATTAAACAAACAAAAATGTGTAACTGTTCCACCTTCCTGTCTTTGAATTCAATTCTCACCTTCTCAGCTCATATTTTAACATTCAGCAGAGTCATTCACCTCGTAGCACTACTATTACCCATAATGAAATTGTGAAAGAAAACTGGAAATATGAAGTAGAGAGAAATTACAAATGACAGCCATGAGGCATGCATCATTATTTAGTGTTTCAGCAGGCAAAATTATTTATTTTGGAACAGATTCAACACATAATCATTTAAGTTTAACCCCTTCTCTCTCGGTGTTTCCTGCAGGAAACCCAAGATGACTGTAATGAGTTACATTATGTTTTTTGAGTGTTTAACTTAGTTAAACTATATAGAAGACAGAAGATAGTTAAACAGTTGTTATAACATGGAAATAATAGTATAAATTGCTGTGCAGTTATCATCAATTTTGATAATGTTAATGGGAGGCTTCCTGTGCCTGCTGGGAAGCAGCCAGTATTACTCCAGGTTATTAGTATGTTAGTTACACAACCTCATTAACCACTACATCACATTAACATTCAAAACTGATAGTTCATGGAGGTTTGTTTTTTTTAATCTGCAGTGCATACAATTTTTCTGCTCCAGCCATAAGGCTCACACAGAAATCCAATACTTGAACAAGTTGGGAGCATGTGAAAGAACCACATTTTATGCTTCAGGCAGAGTACATATTTACCAGTTCAAGCAATATATCCTTGACACAGATTTCTGCTCAGATCCACAACAGTTTTGTGGCAAGGAAGGTGTTTTTAGGGCCATCAAATTCCTGGCACAAGTAAGGCAGGGCAGTGTGCCATAAGCTGCAAGGAGGGATGGCTGACTAAGGTGAGGTTTGAATGCTTGTGCATGGTCTAAGGGAAGTCCAGGATTGTTTCTTGCTGTTTTACTGATTAGCTGAATAACTACTGGCAATTTCCTCAACCATTTCTTCACTTCATGTGTGAAAATGGGGATAAATGTAGTTAAGATTCATTACAAATTTATTTATTCCTTCACTCATTCATTCACTCATTCATTTTTTCATTCGTATCTGTAAAGTGCTTTAAGGTTATGAGAAAGGAGCAGCATGGTCACCATTATTATTCATTAAAAAAATTTCTCACCTAACATGATTAATAATAAGATTTGTAGGTGGTATAAAAAAATCTTCCACTCCTTCAAAGGGTGTGTGGATAACATGTGGATCCTCTCCAGCGCTTGCCTCTGGAATCACCTACAATAAATACACACAAGGTTGAGCACAGGATAAGCACTGAGTAAGGCAGAAAGGTAAATACAGATTAGAGACATGCACAGCACCAAGTGGCTCCTTCCAGGCTGTAGTAGACTCAACTGATTAATGATTTCTAAACACTGTTTGGTGTAGTTGTCTTGAAAAGCTGTGCTAGCAAACAGTATTTGAGGCATGACATTTGTAAGGTAAGTACACAACTTGACTCTTGTAAGTTGTTTACATCTCAAGAATGAGCAGTCAAGCAGGAGCTGAAGCAGTATGACAACAGCAGGACAATAATAATTTATCCCTCACTGTCTAAAGTAAACATTCACTCCATGGTCATATTTATTAATCTCACTTAAATGCACAGTGATAATTTACCACCCTGAAGGATCAAACACTAACTCACAGCAGTTAATTATCACTTTGAAGGAGAAAAACTGTTCATCCATCAATATAAAGTCCAGGGAGGAGTGAAGAAGCTCCCTTTGGCTGTCCCCTGGTCCTGCCCTCCAGCACAGCACAGATCTCCATGGACAGGGGAACTCAGCTCCTCCACTGCTCCAGAAAGGAAAAGTTCTCAAAAATTAAAATGTTAAATGCTCAAATTGTTTGCTGGGTTTAAGATGACTTTAGTCCATTCATTAGGACCTTCTGCTGCTCTAATCTGCAGCAGTTGTTGCTTTGAATTTATGGCTACATAACTCATGAAAGACATGCTAAATCCCTAAAAGGTTTATTTCAGACAGCTGTTCTGGTCATGCCATTTAGATTTCTTCCAATTAGATTTCTCAAGAAGGATGCCCAGCCTAGCACAGTGCTTTCAAGAGGCCAGATATTTGCTTCCCACAAGCCACTAATGGCCAAACAACAGCATCCCCTTAGCTGGCTGCACAGGCAGTTTGATAAATCCCTGACTTCCAGAGGAGTGGAAATTTAGATCAACCTCTGCAGCAGCATCTTCATTAAAAGAAAGTATTTTATTGCATTTCTGCAACTGAACACTGCAGGCTTTAAGAAGGAACTTTGCCCAATTAGTCACTGCCCACCTTTTAGGAAAGAAGGTCAGAAAAAAGAAAGGATCTGCTGATGATGATGCTAATCTCATCTCTATGTGTGTAACTGCACATCATAAAGATAACAGAAAGGACTATCTGAGACCTGGAACCTTCTAACAAGTTCCCAACTGTGCAGATGGTGTGTTCTCCCTAATAATGACATGCTTGTGCCATCTCTCCTTTAATTACAGAAACTTCTCACAGCTGGATGGATGAAATTAAGTCAGAAAGGGTAAAAAGAGCCCATTTTGTCTCCTTATACCCTGTACAGGAAACTCACATCCCCAGGTGAGACAACTTGGTGTTGCTCCTCTGGAAACCTTCATTTATGTGCCTCCATTCTGATTTTGGCATCTTTTCCTGAAATTGCCTGTGATGAGTAGCTGGTCCAGTGTTTATTATTGACAGTCAGCACTGGATGGAGTATGTGGATGGTAGGGATGGCTCATCCCATCTTCATGGTGCACTATATCCCCAGCAGAAGTTTTGGGTAGCCCCACAATTAATGCAGACTCCAATTTGTTGGTTTTTAGGTCAGAAAGCACAGCCCTCTTTTTCTCTGCCTGCTGGGAAATGCTTCAATGCAGACCTAGCAGCAAACACTTCTGGAAGAAGGAGTATTCACGTGACACCTCTTTCCAGAAAGGGTGGGCAGCAAGGGTGGGCAGCCAGAAAACCACCACCAGAGAATGGGATGTCTGGATGGATCAAATCAGATCCATCAGCTGGTGTCAACTCTGTCATACATCATACAACATCATACAGCAGCAGAAAAATGCCCCACTAGATGGCAATTCTCCATGTTCTCTGTGCTGTCAACGGAAGAGTAAATCTGCTAAGGTGATCCAGAAGTGGAAGGTGATTTGGGTGTCCAAACTCATGTGCAGTGCTCAGTCCCAGTGTCACTGCAGGTCTGGTGGTGCTGAGCATGGAGGAGTTCCACAGATATCACTGGCACCCCTAAAATGGAATCACTAACATCCAATAACACAATTTGTCCCTGAGGTTTTACTTCTCTTGGTTTGGCTTTTTTCCTTCATGCCCTAAATAGCCCCTTCTTGCATTTTAGTGTGAGAGACTCACAGAATCACAGAATTGTTAGGGATGGAAAAGCCTTCTAAGATCATCAAGCCCAACTATTTCCCCAGCACCGCTAAGCCCAGCACTGAACTGTGTCCCCAGATGCCACATATACATGTCTTTCAATCCTTCCAGGGACAGTGACTCCACCATTGTCCTTGGCATCCTGTTCTGGGGCTTGAGAAAGTCATCAGTGAAGAATTTTTTCCTAATACCAACCTGAGTCTTACCATGGCATAACTTTAAGCCATTTTGTCTTGTCCTGTTACTTCTTACATTGGGGAAGAGACTGACTTTTATCTGGCTCCAACCTCCCTTCAGGGAATTGTAGAGACTCATAAGTTCCCCTGAGCTCCCTCACCTGCTCCTTGCCAGACTTGTGCTCCAGACCCTTCCCCAGCTCTGTTGCCCTTCTCTGGACACATCCCAGCACCTCAAAGTTTGTCTTGTAGTGAGAGCCCAAAACTGACCCCAGGATTTGAGGTGCCTCAGCAGTGCTGCAGAGCACTCTTGTCCTGCTCACAGACAGCTGCCAGCCCTTGCTGCACAACTTTTTGGCACTTGGCTCTGTCACCAGTCTTAAAACAAATCAGACCTTGGCACAGAGCAGCCCTGCTGTCAGCCTGTGGCACAGTCATTGCTCAAAAACAAATTAAACAGCAGGAAAAATATGTGAGGATGGACAGAGGAGGGATGAATTAAACACACTGGATATGCAAATGAAACAGCAGCTTTATATCCAGACCATTAAATGTGGCTAATTACCTGCAACCCACCAGCCACCAGTGTGTTACCAGTGATGCTGAGCCCAGGAAGAGCAAAGGCTCCAGGGTGTAAGGACTCACCTGCAGTGTGGGTGATGATTTCCTCATGTCCCCCCAGCTGAGCACCCACACTTGGTCGTGGGACTTGTCATAATGTAATTTGGTTGGTAATGGGTCCACATCCAAGGACTTAAAAAAACCCAGAGAGAGTTATTTACATAGAGACTCAAATGAACATGGCAAAGATCACATCAGTTCCCTGCAGGCATTCTCATGCACCACTGTTATGTTCCCTGTGCAGCTTTGCCTACAAATCAAGTGGGGGATCAGCAGCAGGTGAAAAATTTGGCTGTTTGATGCCATTTTCTGGGTAGACATCCCTCCATCCTCTGCTGTTTCTTACAGCCAGAAGATCAAGGGCCAATTTCTGCCTGAATTGTACCCACACCAGCTCTTCCCATTTATAAGCATTCTCTCCAAACTGCTTATGACCCAGGTCAGGCAGCTAAGCCAGGAATTCAACCCAGTGTTATTTTACCAGACTCACTGTGAGCTTGGCTGCAGAGGCAGCCCTGAGACTGTGATCTCCAGCCCACAGAGGAGTTTATTCTGCCAGTGAGGTCACACAACAGTGAACTCCATGTGATGCCACTGGTCAAAGCAACACAGGCCCAGCTCTTTACTGATCAGCAGATCTTTGCCCAGCAGATCCACTGGGCAAAGATCTGATTTTTTTGTCCTATATCAAGTCTTTTGTCATCAGTGAATAATGTGTTCACTTGTAAGTACCTGTATGGCTTTTTGAGTCTGGATATCAATTATCATTACTCTGTTCTGCTTTGGCTGTGTCACATAAATGTACTTGTCTCTGACATTGACTGCTGAAGCCCAGAGGCAGGACTGAGTGTCTTCACCTTCCACTCTAGGACAGATCTCCTCCTGAGGGGTTAGAAAAAGAGAAGGTTTAATTTTTACAACTTCAGGGCCTGGAGCAGCAAGAAGCTTAGCCTTGTAAACTGCAGGGAAAAAATCCCTGGGGATTCCATTAGGATGATATTTCTCCCCTTTCTTTCCTGGAAAATATGAAATAATTAATTTATCAGGTACCACACTGCAGCCTGGCTCTATGCAATGACATTAAACAGCTGGACCTCCTGCAAACCTATATTGAATTTAAATAACCACAGAGCCTATGGATTGATCTTTTGAAGCATGCTGTGGTTCATCAAGACTTGCAGTGCTGTCAGCATTTATTAGCAACAGAACTATCACTCTGAGCCTTGAAAAAACAGTGATTTACATTAATTGAGTCACTGATTTATATTTTTCATAAAGTCTTCATTTTCTGCACAGGAGTTTGAAGAGTCACTTTTGGTCTCACCAACAACTCCCTGCATGTTTGCTACTTCTCACTGCTCTTCCTACTGTCAAGATGCTTTATTTGAAAGAGCAGTTGTGTGGGACCAGGCTGTGGAGAGGAAATGGGGTAAAATGAGAATGAACACATATGAATTTCAGTGAGCACAACTGTTGATTTTAGACCTTGTGTTGCATAATATTAAATAATGGTCCAACCTACCTAAGGGAAATGTGATTGGAGCTGCATCAGAACTTGTTCAGGGAAAGAGGAGGCACAACAAAAAACAATGTCAGCATTGTGTCTGTACTGGAGGAATAGAATAGAATAGAATAGAATAGAATAGAATAGAATAGAATAGAATAGAATAGAATAGAATAGAATAGAATAGNATAGAATAGAATAGAATAGAATAGAATAGAATAGAATAGAATAGAATAGAATAGAATAGAATAGAATAGAATAGAATAGAATAGAATATCCTGAGTTGTAAGGGACCTACACCATGTGCAACAGTTATGGATAGAAAGCTGTCACCTCCAAGCAGCACAGCTCTGCTGGCTGAGTGTCATGGTGGAGACCATGAGTAAGGTTTGAAGATAAAAGACTCAATAACTTGGCTGCATTTTCCTTTCTGTTCCTCCAGCCAGGCTGGGAATCTATGCTAAAAGCTAGAAGATGACACAAAAGCCCAGACTGGGGCTTCCAGGAGCCATTCGTGTAGTCAGGCACCTGCCAGCCTTCACACTGCCCTCCTCATCCTCAGCAATCACAACACAGCACCCACTCAAGCCAAGGGTGGATGTCTACTGTCTATATTTGCTACTGTCTATGCAGCAAACATCCAAGACAGTAAAAGGGAAAAGGGAGTAAAAAATGTCAGTTATCCCCAGACCAAGGGAAGGGTCCTTGGAGATCTGTAGGAATCCCTCATATGTGTCTCTGAAGAGCAGCCAAGTGATGTTAAAAATCCCTCTCATGCACACTAAAGTGCTGACACGATTTCCTAGGCGCCATCTCTGTTTTGTTCTTTTTGATCTGTTTCTCCAGGACCACCTCTTCAATATTTACAGTTCTTCAGAAAAGAAACACAGGATTTCTGTCTTTGTAAAGCTTAGGTGTGGTTTAATAGCATTAAGTCCATAGACTAGCCTTGGGGTGAGCATCAGTCTGGATTTCCTCTAAGGTATATTAAAAACTTGTGGAAAAAACCCAGTATCAACCACAAATTTATTAAGATTTAGAAAATACTTCCTACACACCCATAAGATGCAGAGCTTGACCCGACCTGCAGGGCTCATGACAGCAATTCTAGCCTTTGATTCCTCCCAAAATTGAAATCAAGGCTGAGCCCTATTTTTTAGAAGAGCCACATTCTTTAGCCACATTTTCAACTTCCCCTTTTAAAAATTAGAAAGCAAGGAAAGGAGTGACTAAAAAAGCATTTCTGGCTGTATTTCAGCACCTGTGTTTTTTTTAAGAACTGTCAGTTTCATGAGGATATGCCTGCTGTATGTTCCTGTGCAGGAGTACATAGCAGGTCACTGAGAACACTGACCTCTCAGAGCCTCCAGGCACGTGTTATCCCACTGGCCATGTTGAGCTCCACTGCCTACAAGCCAGTGCTTGACATTTCTGACACCTGAAAAAATGTTCCTTGTAATTCCTAAAGCAAGGGTTAGGTAAATTCAGTGCAGACACAAAAGTGCCCACAGCAAACACAGACAGTGCAGTCTCTCTCTCAGTGCAGAAGATGCAGAGGATCTTCAGGGCACAACCATTTTCTGGGTATTCTTATTTGCCTCCCTGCTGCAGTTTAACATAGCAAAGCACTTCCAAAGAGCAGAAAGTAGCCCAAAGTAGCTCACTTCTTTGCCTATGGAGCCATCAGTAAAAGGAGCACCAGTGAATGATGTGCACATCTCTCTGCTGTTGACTTTTGTACCTTCCCTAAAGCCCAGTTACAAATTTGGGGCGTGGATAAGTAAACAGATCAAAAGGACAAATGAAAATCTTTGCTTTTGTGATAACTAGCCAAATTCTCTGCAGCGTGTCAGTAAATCCTCCATGTCAGCCTTAGAACTTATGTGGATCCCCTGATTTTCATGAGAAGATGCGACACCTCAGGGATGCTGCATGAAGCCCACCAAGCTCCAACACCCCTGTGGCAAACAGGTCCTTTAGCAATAACAATCTTTGAAGAGATTAAGAGAAAGTTTCCCAGCTGTCAGCTGTAGCTGCTGGGTTCAGGACTTACATAACTTGAGAAAATCCTCTCTTCAGGCCTGATGTGTCTCCGGATTTCACATTCGTTTGGCTGAAGGACGGTGATCCCATCATCAGAAAAGACATAGAACATATTCCCAACACTCAAGCCTTAAAGGGGGATAAAGAAGAAGGAGTTGAATTTTTTTTTTGCATGCATCCATAGCTGTCAGGACTTTTTTAAAGAACTTGTCGTCCTTTCCCGACAAACAAAATCTGCCTTACATAAAAGTTGGTCATTTGGATGCAGTTGGAGCATTCACAAATCAAATTTTATGTCACAACAAGGGCTTCAAGGAGTGAAGAGGTACAAACACATTCAAAAATGCATTGCCTTGGTGGCGGTAGTTGTACCAAACAATTATGGCTGGGTCTTGTAAATAGGTACCAAGACAGGATTTGATCCCAAGAAGCCTCTCTGTTGCACTGCTACCCCCCTCAGATTGTTAATTTGTTTTCTTTCTATGATTTCATTAAAAACAGCTTAACAATAATTTGAGAACTGAAAGACAAGCTTTAGTTAAAAATAAAGTGGAGGTCATCCTGTTACAGGCAACTTGACCACTGGTAACTGTGATGTTAAATGGAAGTGTTTAGCATCTGTACCATAAATGAAAATATATAGATTTCTTTATTTCCTTAAAATATAACTAACTACAGCCACCAAAATAAATACATTTTTGAAATCTTGCAAACTGTAATTCACAAATGTGGAGTAGTTCAGCATTGCATTAGCACTCATTTATCCAACCAGGGCATTCCAGGAGATTTGGAAAACTGGCTGATTGTCATTGCTTTGCCATTAGGAGATTGTCTTTTATCACTTCTGTCATGCTACATGGAATTGCAGTGACAAGATCTTTAAGAAATGTTCAGGATCCTTTCAAACCCTCTAGTTTCAAAGATCCAATCATTCCATTTTTTCACACCACCACCAGTAAGTGTTTGCAATGACCACTGTCACTCCTAGCAGTGTTGATAGCGTACTTTATCTGCCAACAATATGGTGATGCTATAATTTGTATCTTCTAATTAATTCCTTTTTTCCCATGGAGAAATAAAGTCCCCAATCTATGGCTCTGAACAGTGCTCAGTGCTAAAAATTCCCTTTGCTGGTCCTGTGGTGGCAGCTCTAAGTACTGCTCACAGAGACAGTGTTTCTCACATTTCTTAACTGTCTGCAAGATTGAGATCTAAATCATCACAGGAAATCTGACAGTAAAAATAGGGATAATTTTGACAAATGCATTTTTGGAAAATGTTGTAAAACACATTGTATTTAGTAAGGCTAGAAGGGTGTTTTTGTTGCTAAGCCCCTTTCTTTTGATGTCAAATAAGTAATTTCAGAGAACAATGTGTCAGCATGTGGTGTTTGCTGTACTGACATGGTTCAGGTTGAGTCTCTGAACCACAGCACAGAAATCCCCCAGTTAGGGCTCAGGTGGGTACAAGAGCTGTGATCCTCAAATGTGATTGCACAAGGCAGGATCATGCATGTAGGGAAAAAAGCTCCATTGAGAGTTATTTCATTGACTAAGGGTTATTTCTCCCCAAGTATATTGGTAATACATTTCATGCAGGCACTTTGGGCCAAAACCTGCGCTCCCAGCATTCACACATCTCCCACCTGCTTTAGTGGGGTTTGATGAACACTCAGAGGGCAGAATTTGACCCTGGCCTGGAATGAGTGCTGACATTTCATGGGTAAAGGATTTTATTCCTCAGAAGTGAAAACAGGCAGGCAATCAATTATGACTATTGTGAGAATGCTTATTTTCATGCACAAGAGTAGTGTGATTTTGTCTGATGATCCTATTACAACGAGGGTGTATTTAAGAAGACCATAATTACCCACAAAAATACTTTGATTAAAAATTTTACCCCAATAGGTTTAGAGTCAGAGACTTGGCAAGTTCTACTACTTATTTTACAGTAAAATGAGTCCAAGTTTTGTGCAGACTGATTAAAATATACTACAAATTCCTGAGAGCATTCAGTTACTCTCTTTTTAAAAAAGTTTGTCAGTTAAAATTAAACCACTTTTTTTTCCCCCACAGATTGGTCTTCATACGGATATTTAGACCAAACAGGATTTTACTAGACAAACTAGGTGTTTTATCGTGACTTATGAAACATTTGCCAAATCTTGGTTGGGGTACATCCTAAACAATCTCAAGGTCATCAGTAGAACAGACTCAATTTTTTATTATACTGATGCAACTCCTGGGTGCAGGGAACTGGGAATTGTTTCAGTACAGAGGTGGGCAATGAAGTATTTTGTGTTTTTTATAGTAGTGAGGCAGGTACTAAATTGGGAACTCAGAGACTAATGAGGAGTTTTGAAAATTTTTTTCCTTTTGAACTGAGGACATTTCAGGTTAGATGACACAACTAGTTCAAAACTTAAAGGCATTATGAAAGGTAAAATACTTCACCTATATAGCAAAATATCCCTAATATTAAAAAAAAAACATAAACAAAATATTAAGAATGGGGAGGGCTTTCTAAACATAACAGTTCTTATTTGATCCACTCCAGATGAAGTTGGCTCTAACAAAAAAACATTGGGAGGACACCTGATATCAACAAGAACTTATTTGAGAAATACAGTGTCTCCATCAGTGTACATTTATACATCCCTCCTTTGAGATCAAAGGGCAAATTTTTCACCACAGAATACTCTCCTCTGATCTTATACTTAAATAGTTTTCCTCAACTTAATTTACATACTTGGAAATATTTTAGAACTTACATTTGGTAATGAAAAGGCTTTCAGCTTTTTAAGTGCATACACTCACATAACTGCTGATTGCCTGCTGGCACAAAATGCCCCTTTTCTCCAGGTATTAAGTAAGCAATGCTCACTACAGAAATGAACACTGTCATGAAAAAAAAAAGAATCTCTGCTTTGCATTTGGGCTACTCATGGTTTTCTCTGGACAAAATTAAAAACTATTTGTACATTGAGTAAATACTGCATGTGCTCCAGCCCCAGGTTTAACTGGCTGGTTGCCCTATGTGCATTCATTTCTTAGGGCATTGCTTGTGCATGGTCTGAAAGGTTCTGAGAACAAACTGACAGACTGACTTTTAAAATGACCAAATACTTGTGTTAAAAGTTTGACTTTCAAAAGTTGTTCTACACCATATTTTGTTTAGGCATTTTCCCAAGGTGTTAATTACTCCAGACCTTGTGGGGATGAGTTAGTGATCATTTTAAAGGAGCTCAAACCTACCAATGCATCTGTTAATATTGCTACTTGCATATAGTAAGGAATTGACCGAATATATTAAAATATAAAACCAAAAATGCCATTCCTGTCTTCCATTTATCTCTGTGCCAAGATTTCACAAGCTGAAGTATATTCTAGAATGAATGTGCCCATCACATACTACAGAACAACACAAGCAGGGTAATAAATCTGCTTTACAGGTGCTGAATTGTTTAGGAACATCAATAGCAGACCTGCTTTACTGGCCATGGTTTGCCTCAACATTGTTCATACTTTCGTTTAAAATGTGCAAGGTTGATAAGCAGTAAGTCCATCTCTTTAGCAAAATTATAATAAGACTTTCTGTAACCAACTTCTCAGCTGTTCTTTAAACATTCCTCTGCTTCTACATCTGGTAGGATTATCCAACTACTTTCTTTAAAAAGGAGCATAAGGAGCACTTTATATAAACAGCCATGGAGCATCGTGCAGGTGATGCTGGACTGATGAGATGCATTAGAGATTTCATTTCCAAGCAGAAGGGAAATAGCAGTTCTTAGTGCCCAAAATGCCATTTACAGGAACACCAGCAGTGGTGACTCCTCACAGCCCTGCACCAGCCCTGCAGGTGGGGTGTTCAGAAAGAAGTGCTGGGGAGCTCTCCTAGGTGACAGCCACTTCTCTGACCTCAGAGAGCTGCATTTGCCTTGGGTTGGAAGGGACTCCAGAAATAAAACAGTGTATTTGCTGTATGTGTCTGTGGCCAACAGTGGCCACAAAACCTGGTGACCAGGTTTTGTCACCATGCCCTGGCACCCTCCTTCTGCCCCCAAATCCTTTGTGCCAAGCCCAAGCTACCCAGAACCTTCCTGCTGAGGCTGGAAGCTCAGCTGTTGTTTAGAGGCCCTACTGACAAAGGGGCTTTGCCCCCTCCAAAAGCAGAGTGAGCCTGAAGCCCTTCTTGGAGCAGCAGGGTGAGGGAGTTTGGGGGTTTGCAGGGGGAGCAGCGTGAGGGAGTTTGAGGGGTTTGCTGGGGGACATGGCTGAGAGCAGTTTGCCACTGCACAGCAACCCTTCCCACTCAGCTTGAGGGACACCAAGGTCTCAGCTGCCTCACAAGGAGCTGGCAGATGTGAGAACTGGTTTACATCTGCACCTGAACCTCAGAACCTTCCTCCAGGGAGTGGTGTCCTGCCCACAGCCCTCCAGGAGCCCAGGGTCACAGGGTCCCCTCTGCACACCTGGGCTCCTCACCTACAGAGCCAGATGGACAACCTGCGTGAGAGCCCCTTGGGCTCTGCATGATGCTTCTTACTGGGTGTTTTGGAAATTATGACAGCACATGCATGTACAAAATAGGGTGATTTTAAGGCCCTCCATGATATCCTTGAGTCAATTAGCTGCTCAGGATGGGTTTTTGTTTTACTTTGGCTTCCAAGATACACAGTTGACGACCTTGTGAAGGGCACACTGTAAGTTTGATCAAACTAGAGCTCTTAACTGCCAATTAAAACAAGGGGAAATGGGGCAACCTTTACCCTGCATTGATTCAAAGGATAGAGGGAAGAAAACCTGTTGTGGTTTGGATTTTTGTTTTGCCTAACAGTCAAGAACACAATTTCTGTTGCTCACCTAGAAAACATCAATGCATGCTATTGAAAAGAAAAAGCTTGAATTGCTTGCTTAAAAATGCAACATATTGATTTATGCCTTACTTGTTCAATTATGGTAATTTGAGAGCACTTTTGACACTTGTGTGATTGCTAATGCAGCTTGAAAATCTCAGGCTACTCACATTTATGGCATTATATATAAAATTCATATTTTTATATATTTTATGGTCATCTATTATTTTATAGTGGGAAAATGCAAGAAGTTATAGGTGCAAGAGTGACATCTCTTATTTGAATAATTTAGCTTTTAAAAGTCTGGTCTGTACTTAATCTGGTGACTGTGAAAGTTGATAGGGTTAGTGGCAAGTCAGTGGAGAATGGCCCATCATGGAATTATTAAAGCAGACAAGCACATTATCACTACAACAAAAGAACTTTACTGCAGTACCTTCCTCTCGCCACAGTATGTTTGCAACTGCAGCATCAGAATATTGGGAAAGCCAGAAAATAATCAGGAAAAGAAAAAAAAACAACAAAACAATGTCAAAACTTTCATTGTATCAAGTAACTGAATAAATACTCATGTTTACATGAACTGTTCAATTGGCGAAAATTTTGTAACATTCATTCAAATAAAATACCAGGAAAGACAGAGAGTTCTAAACACATTTGCTCCTTCTAGAGACAATTAAGAAACTTTGACATGGGAAAAATCCTTCCTGAAATGAAGGCAGCTGTGCAAAGATCAATGACCTACTAAAGAGGAGCTGTTACCTTCAAATGCAGCTGCAGGTATGGCACAGCCTGTGGTTTTCTGTGCAGGTTCAATGAGGAAACACAAGGTGGAATTACAGAATCATTAAGGTCGGAAAAAACCTCTAAGATCATCGAGTCCAACCATTAACCCATCTCTGCTAGGTCCAGCAGCATCTTTCAGAAGAAGCCTGAGGCTGGCAGCCACAGCAGCTCCAGCAGCTGCACCCTGGGCTGTGGTGTCTCTTGGAACTTCAGGCAACTGCATTCTTTCAGGATTCACACAAGCTTTTAAAGTACACCTGCATTTGAATTTCTGTTCCAGATAGATCCAATTATTTCTCAACATACTGTAATTTCCCTTACTCAAGTATTCAAGGGAAAATGACCAGTAATAACAAGAGTATATAAATCTAGTTAATAAGGAATAGGATATCTTTTCCAAAGATTTTCCTTGAAAGCTCATATTTATGGGTAACTTTGTTTCAATTCTTGCTCTATATTAGCAGCCAGAAAAGCAGTAAAAATCCCATTTGCACCTAGACTTTTAGTATCACCATAAACCCAGGTAATCTCCCAGGCATTCAAGAAAGCAGAACTGGGAAAGATCAGGCCTCTGGGAGCTTTTCTATGGGACAACTGATCACCTCCTTCAGCAATTCTATTTTGGGGTCAGTGTGGTCAAGACAACACGGCTGCACTCCTATGGGAGATGTGGGAGGAGCAGCTGGGAGGCTATTTGTCTTTGAGGTGGAAGATGATTTCACACTGAGGGAAACCTATTTTGCCAGTCAGTGATGTAAAAACAGGTAAAATAATTTAATCATGACATTTTTCAGATATCTAAATATTCAAGAATTTTGACTGGTAACTGGCTTCAAAAGAAGCCTTATACAGAAATCAATGAGATTTATAGAATGTGACAAAATATTACATCTTGGATTCCCTGATATCTGCAACTATTGCCAATTTGTTACTCCAATAAAGCTGTTATTCATCACACACCCAGTATAATTCTGGCACATGAAAGACACCATCTTCCTGGACAAGATTTTACCTTCTCTGCATGATTTGTACCCCCAAAAAGTGTCCAATCCTCTGATCAAAGTGCATTTAGAACTGTCATTACCTTGTGTAAGATCCAACTTACTGCATGCAATAGCCTGAACTAAATTACACTAAATTAAATTACATGTATGCCATCACATTCCAACACTATTTAAAGGAAGAAATGCATGGAAAATTGAGCTTACGGGTCTTTCTCGCTGAGTCTTCGATGAAAAGGGAAGAAATGTCCTCATCCACTCCCACCTCATTTTTGGCAATGCAGGTGTAGGCACCAGTGTCTTCATAGCGAACACTGCTGATGTGGAGCTCACTTCCATTTGCTGTAAGAGAGACACTCATAGACAGTGCTCCTCACTGCTGCTAATTACTGTCCCTGCCTTAATTGCCCTCCATCACCACAACCCCCCAGTGAAGGCTCAACAGGGTGGTTCCACCCCACTGTGTTTCCTCCTGTTTAACTAGAGGCTTTTGGGGATTCTCATGGGAGCTGGTGTCTTGCTCCTTTCCATCAGCACATACACCCTCCACACCAGAAAAGAACAAAGAACAATCTCAAGTTAAACTATAAATTACATTTCATTTATTTCTTCTTTTTGTTAGAAAAGTGTTTTGGCTTTAGTAGAGAAAAATTAATTTTGGTTTTGCAGACTGTTTTTCGTCAGATCACAAAAAAACTTTGGTTTAAAGGGGTCTCTACAATTCCTCCTACCATTTTTCTTTCTGCAGTGGGACCAATGGCTGAAACCTTTGGAACTTGTTGAGATATTGTATGTGCCATGCAGCAATATCAGTGCTACCAACACAGGCTGAAGGGCACAATCTACCAAAGCCAGACTGGGGCATGTGTTGAGGATGGGGTTATAATTTTTACACAGAAAATTGCAAATTAATGTTTTTTCCTTTTGCTATGCCTGTTGCATCCTCATTTGAATGGGGACCTAGAGGAGTTAAAAGCCCAATTCCTTCAGCAGGGCTGAGTGGGAGAATGACTCTCAGCTGACTTGCATCCAGTGTGGGCTTAGACGTGAACAAATAATTTAACGAATTTCTCTTCAAATAATTTAATGCATTTCTTTTCTCCTGTGCTGTACACAAGAAGCAAGGCAGTGAAGAAACAGGCAGGCTGTCTTTGAACAGAATGCAATTACCACTTACATCAATCAATAGTGTATTTCCCAGGAAATTCACAGGAGAAAGAGATAAAAAGAAAGAACAGGGGTTTTATAACACGATTTCCAACAACTGTGGCTTAGCAAAGTACAAGAACTTCTGGTTTAAAGTGCAAAATAATCCTCCTTAATCCCTGCCTACAATACTTTAATTAATCAGAATTCTGTTCTTACCGAGGAGCGATAGCTGTTTGGATAGTTTTGGCATGATATCAATGCCGTTCTTCAGCCAGGTAATGCGGGGATTAGGGATCCCTTCGGCGTGACATTTCAGGCTGGCTGAAACACCCGGCTCCTGCGCCTGCGTCTCGGGGTACACGCGGATCACCGGAGGCACTGCGGGGGCAAGGAATGGGGAACTGAGAATTGGGGACTTGAGACTGGGGAATTGGGAACTTGAGACTGGGGAACTGGGGACTTGAGGAATTAGGGACTTGAGGAATTGGGGAACTGGGGACTGGACTTGAGGAATTGGGGACTTGAGGAATTGAGGACTTGAGGAACTGGGGATTTGAGGAATTGGGGACTTGAGGAAATGAAGACTTGAGGAACTGGGGGCTTGAGGAATTGGGGAACTGGGCACTTGAGGAATTTGGGATTTGAGGAATTGGGGACTTGAGGAATTGAGGACTTGAGGAATTGGGGAATTGGGGACTTGAGGAATTTGGGACTGGGGACTTGAGGAATTGGAGACTTGAGACTGCGCAGGGGCTGCAGAGCCACTGCTGTCCTGCAGTGTCACGAGGGGCTCTGAGCTGAGAACTAAGCTTGGTCTGGCTGTCAGTGCAAGCTACATGAATGATTTTTCTACAGCTTGACTTTGGGGGCAGAAAATAGAAAATAATGCTTTTCCAAGCACTGGCATGTGAGAGAAGCTGAGGATGCCCCATCCCTGGAAGTGTTGAAGGCCAGGCTGGATGGAGGTTGGAGCAACCTGGTCTAGTGGAAGGTGTCCCTGGCCATGGCAGGGGGTTGGATTGAGATGATTGAGATGGTGTCTAAGATCCCTTCAATCCCAAACCAGTCCGTGATCCTATGATTCTATAACAGAAAAGAGTAAACTAATACACCAATGCAGGGAGGAACCTTGTGATCCAATTCTGCATTTAGACTTTCATTGAGTGACTAACTGAACTTAACAGCTGGATTAAAACCTAACATGGGTACTCACATATTGAAAAATTAAAGTATAAGCTTCAGATATTCACTGAATCCAGGAGGGAATTTGAGTTCTTGCCTATGAAAAATAACTTAATCTTCAGTATTTAATTATCCATCAGGAAGTGGACTGTGTATTCATTACTTCTTATTCTGAACAAATAAAGTGTTTATCAATTACTTCTTTTCACTGAGAGGTTTTTAAAACATGACTTACCTTGTTCACAAAGGCACTCCTGAGCTGTTTAATATACTCCACTGGCAGAACTACTAATTATATTACAATTTCAGAGATGTTCATTGATTTTCAATCATCTTTCCTTCACTGCTCAAACCAACAAGGCTTAATATCACCCATTAACTATTTCTTAACAATTTACTGACTTGCTTTAAAAAAAAAAAAAATTGCAATACTGCAGCATCAGTGAAAGATACCAGTAAGACTCTTTCCTCTTGAGGGAAAAATAAAAGGAAACGTGAGGTTGTCTCATACCATGGCTGATGGTATCTCTATTTCACAATGAAGCAGTCAACTTTTCTATCAGATTGGGAGATTTTGAGATTAATGATGTAGCTGCTGAAAGCTGCACAGTTTTATAAAACTGTCTGAGTCCAATGTGGATCTGGCCAGCCTGGATGGGATGCTACTAGTAACATTTTTTGAATGAAATGATTGAGTAAGTGAGGCCCATCGAAGGCCAACATGATTTACTTAGACTCACAGCTGAAGGACAGTGTGCCTCCTACAAATGCAGAGGAAAAAGATTTACAGTATTCAAGGCCTGATTCTCAAATCCTGAAATCAACTGACTTGGCTGAGATCTCACATGGCTACAGGCACCAGAGCAATTTCACTCCAAGCCAAGTGTCTTCTCACCCACCAGCTCTCAGAGACAGAGTCCATCCCAGTCATCACCTATTTAATCTCTCAAAACCACTGTGGGTTGTTATTTCCTTAATATTGTTTGCTTTAGGCTTTCCTGCTCATCTGGGCAGCTGTGTCAGCATTTCCCAGGCTGGCCACAGAATCAGGGCTCTGCAAACAGACTGAAATTTCATCCCTCACATTTTTGCCTCACACCTTGATAGCCTGCACATGAATAATCCACCTATTTACCTGGATGGCTGCAAACACAACAGATTTATACTGCCAAAGGTAGCTCACAGGTCCTAGACACTGAATCAATGCTCTGCATGAAAATTAACTTAAAATTATAGCAAGGTATCTTTTCAAGAGTGATTAATAAGGAAACTGTTTGTTTTCACCTACAAAGAGTATATGCTTCACCTCCATTTCTGCTCTCTTTTCCTTTTCCTTCTATTTTTAAACTTTTTATTTCTTCTCCCTTGTCTTACATAATTCACTGCACAGGTAAATTATTTCATGCAAATGCCTTGTGATAACAGCAAACTGCAGAATATATTTTTATTGTCCTTGCTACAAATTAATACATTCCAAGTAAGCACATTAAACTTGCAAAGATTTCAGTTCCAGACTTTGGGATATATGGATTACCTTTTGCTTTTTCCCTTGGTGAATATATATCATTGCTAACCATTACTGTGTCTGCAGCCAAGGGCAATATAAAAATGCCATTATCTTAAGCAAAGTAGGAAGAAAGAGGCATTGAAACAAGCATGAGATTGGGTAGATTGCCTACCACTGCATACTGAGCAGCACCTCACTGGTGAGCAGACCAATTCATTACTACAAAACAGCTCAGGTGATAAAGCACACGATGAGCACAGATGGTGCCACCAAGGCCCAAAGACATCCATTGCTGCTGTAGGAGCTCTATACTCCAGGGTGTAGCAATAATTAACAGATTAATCATTTACTCGAGATGTTTTACATTTATGATTTGAAAGGAGCTTGCAGCATTTTATGTTTTCTCCTGAAAAGCCACATTAATGAAACATCTATGTTTGTAACATCTTCCTTACTGGAAAATTTGTCCTATTGGACCCTTATAATTGGGCTGAGGATCAAATGGCTTTTTTAAAACTATTTTCAAGGAATACAATATTCTGATTTATGCTGATGTTTTTCTGAGTGCAAGGACCAAGGAAAATGATGCCCTACACCCAGCAAATCTCCTACACTCAGTAAATCTCTTGATTTACCAAGAGACTTACCAATTTTCATAGTTGATTACTATTTTATGAGATTCTTTATCCTCAGGACCTCTTTTTTCCTTTTGAAAGTGCTAAATTGCTTCCTCCCAACAGTTAGTGTACATTGCACACATTTCCCAAGCAATATCCATACATGGGAGAGAACAAAACTTTCCTGCTGTTCTTGGCTCCTCCTGATCAAAGATACCAGAATGCAAGATGAACTTTTCAGTCTTAAACTGTTTAAACATTGCCTTTCAGCACAATTTCTTTTCCTCCAAAGATGTTAAGGGCAAGCTGCATAAATACACTGACTTAAATTTTACCAGTAACTGTGAATCCTAAGATTGATGAGCTCAACCAAACCTCTCCCATCAAACAAACTGAATTTCACACGTCCAGATGTAAGCCAGCAGGTTGGGGCATTTACCTGGTGACCTTCATATTTTCTGCCAAAGAGGATTCTCATCTCTGCTTGTCAAAATAAGCATCTGGATCTACCCATGTTATTTGGGATATCCTGAACCATCTGAAATAAAGGGAAACACTGTATAGCATTCAGCAGTTGAGCAGTAGTAGAGCTCCAAATCTCAGAAACATTTAATGTTGTCAAAATTGGGCTGCAAACTTTCTATTTAAGCTTGTATTTCCTTATTGTCTATATTACCTAATCAATGTAAGAATCTAGCCTAATGTTCTAAAAAGAGACAAAGAAAAAAAATAAGCTAAAGAGCATTTAATATGTTGGATAAAAGCAGAGGAAGTGAGCACATGTAACTAGGATCAAATTCTTTTGTGAGATCACTGATGTGTCTCAGAAGGAACAGTAAGACAGGGCCCAGGTGGTCTGGAAAAGGACCAAAGGATGCTGGAAGAATCACTCCAGTTTTGAAAACACTGGATTAACTGAAAAACATTCTAAAAGTTATAACCTGCCTGTAGGGACACAGCAGTCTTGGGAAGGGTGAGGGATAAACCCTTTTACTTGTAGTTGGATCTTCTTTCTCTATTCTCTCCCAAAAGCCAATGGGAGATGTGAAAAGAAAAATTCTGATAATTTTCACAAAATAAAAAGCCCCCAAGTTTTTGATGTTGAAAGTAGATCAGTGCCTCCCTAGAGGAGACAGGCGAGCAGATACACCCAAGTTCTGGCTGATTTGCTTCTGTCACATTCTCTTACCATTCTAGTCCAATACAAGAAAGCAACAAAAACCCTTCCATGCTGAAGATGGAGTTTTTAGTTTGATACAGACAGACAGAGACAAGCCCCAGTGCTGAACAGAGCCCATCAACTACACTTAGAGTCTCAGCATCTTCACTCAATTCAGCTTGGCTCAGTTTCTTCCCTCTACTCCTGTCAAGAGAAATTCCTCAATTTGTCCTTTAAGTTACTAAAACTGAGGTTTCTTTCCCTGTGAAAGGCTCTGCCTTGGGAACCCTCCAATGTATTTGAAGGCAAGCAATGTTCTCCTGCCATCAGGGCTGTCACCCCTGCATCAGCTGCTGGAGGAAACTGTGACACAGGCAGAACAGGAGGGAATAGACTGATGTGGGCAGCCACATCAAGAATTGCAAAACCCCAGCTTTGCAAAGCCTAATGGCTCACAAGGGAATATCAGAAGCTGTGAGACAAAGATTTCTAGACCCTGCAGTGTTTTCTAGCAAGCCTGAGTTGATACCAGAATGCAGGGCTTTTTATTCTGTATTTAGTGAATATATAGCATATTAAAAAGCCCACACAGATAGTGTTTTTTGTATAACAGGATTATTCTTTTGGTAAGAAAGCCCCCATGCAGCTATGGTATGAAACTACCACTTAAAAAGAAAATGTGATCTTTCAATAACAAGTTAAATCTAAGTGGCAAGCGTGAGCATGGAACAGATCACCCCCTCCCCACACTCCATTAAGCTCTCCTCTCATTCTGGTTTAAGTTTCAAAGCCTTTGGGCCTTCTATTCTCAGTGCTGATAAAGTCTACATTGTTGTCTGCCAACTAAACTCCATTCAGGCCTCATAATACATCACATAATAGACATGGGATTAAGTTGTTAGCTGGCTTTTCTTTCAACTGCCATTCATCAAACAAACAGCACTTTGAGGAAGGAAACCTATTTTCTCAGCTGCAGCAAACACGACTTAGTTATCCAGGTTGCTGAGATTTACAGTTTACTTTCTCAAAAAGATAGCAAATTATTATGTAGAGACATTTAGTCAGCTTTCATTCAGATCAGCCAGATACTTTGTGCTCTCCTCCAGGTACTTGTGTGGTGGGGGGAGCACTTACACACGTCCAGAAGACCTGAGCTGAAGTCAAAACAAAACCTCAAAACAAAACCACCATGGCTCCTCTAAAGATGCACAAATATCCCTCTTTACTGTTTCTCCTCTCACTGCTGACCTCTGTGTCACCTCTGTGACCTGCTCTACCAGCTGAAAGCTCTCCTTTGTGCAGGTCAACACACATCTAGAGAAAGGAATACTAGCTTTCCTTATAATATATATACCCTGTAATAAAGTTACTGTATTTTCCTTAAAAATAAATGCTTTCATACCAGAGTACATCCCAGAGTGTACATCCCATTTCACACCAGAGTGTAACCACAATTAGTAATGGGTGCCCCTGTCCCGTGTTCTGTAGACACTGCTGGGCACCATCAGCACATGTGAAAAGGGGTTGGAAGCTGGAAAATGCTGTTGCTGCTGGGGAGGTGGATACTCTGAGGGCTGGTCCCTTGATGAAATGCTGGCTTAATCTAATGTAATTTTAAACTACATCCAACTGAGTGAGTTTAAGGTCAGGAGATAGATAGTGAGCACCTGAATATCAGTTCCACCAGGCACAAATGCAGTCCAGGGGATGGAGGTGCACGAGAATGCTGGAATTGTGTGATTCTCTCACCTGTAAAATTATTTGCCCTCATTTTGCAATCCAGTGAGCCAGTGTAAACAGCCCTCAGCAAACCAAGCTCAGTACAACCAAGTAATAACCTGGATATACAGCTGGAAGTTAGCTGCTTTTGGAAACACTGCTGTATTTATTTAAATATCCTGGGCTATTTCATGCAACAGAAACGATTTTCTGGAAAAAGAAATTATCGAGGCTACACTTCTGTTGACAAAAGTAGTAATTACTTTAAGAGATGCTTGGAAAGGCTGCTCTTAACTCTATGAAAATGTCACTGACAGCTTGTTTAACAATGAAGATACCTCCTGAAGCCCAGGTAATTATACACATACCCCCTTGACACTTATTTTTGACTGCCTGTGTGACAGTGTGAGTGAGCAAACCCCAAGCTGCATCTGCTCTAGTGCACAGATAATTTGGGCTGTGGCTTTACACATCTCTGTGTGAATGAGGTTAACACACAACTTTTCTCAGGGAATGTTTTCATGGAATGTCACATATGCCATTTACTAACCATTCACCTGAAGGATGTGGGTCTGATACAGCTCCTCATAGCCGTAGGCATGACAGGTGTAATTGCCCATGTGAATTGTTGTTACCTTGGTGATGTAGAGGGAATCATCTTCTCCAAAATCCTGAATGGAACAAAAGACAGGAAAGGTGCCTTATTATTTAGTAGCAACATTTTAAGCACTACATGAATGGATACTACCTGCACAGAGGTTTTGATAGCAATGCAGCCTGGGGACACAGCTTGAATTTTGAACAGTAGGCTATAAAGTTCATAAATCAACACACAGGGAGAAAATGAGCAGCGATTTAAGAGTAAGGTAAAGTGACTCATCTGAGAATATGAACTTTTGTGCTTTGTTGCTAACAAGGTGCTTTTTGCACATAAAAAAGATGGCCATTTCCAGCTGTTTAATTTATGGGGGAATTTAATATCTACCTGTTAACCTCAGATGCATAAAATGCTAACATTTGGGTGGGTTAAGGTTTCCTTTATCTGTGCTGGTTCTTAGAAAATGCACTGCAGCTTTGAGACCTGATGAAAAAGAACTGTAGCTCTTTGTTACTTATCTCAGACAATATCCTAGGCAGGAGACAAGGAAGAAGACAAAAAGCCTTTTCTCAAACATACCTGTTTAGTTCTGTAACTGCTTAACAATTATCTTTATTCATCCCCTTCATCTTTCTAGTCCTGCTCTTGCGTTGTTTCAATTTTTGATTACAGATGGGAAGGATTGAGTTATTAGACACATTTTTGGCATTTGATTATGCTGTACAAGCACCCTGCTTAGGAATTTATTTAAATTCATTATTTATTTAATAATTTCAATGTTTATTTACTGAATTATAGCTAAGAGAACCACAGCATTGATGGCTAAATGAAGCAGCTTCTCTTGTTACTCCACCAACCTTCAGACTCTGCAGCTTCAGAGTGTTTGTGTTTCTATGCAAACTGTGGAGGATACATTTTGAAACAGCTCATGAGCTGAAAGATTTTTCTGTAATCATCCTCACATGTGAAGCATGTCAAATTGAACTCTTTGAGTAATTTAACTACAATATTATGGGAAAATTCAACTTTGAGTCAGGGTGGCACAAACCCAGTACAACAGGGTGAATGCTGGAGAGTGGTTCTGCTTACGTAAACACAAGGATTTGTTTTCAAAGCTCCAAAGTGCAGCTGGAAGCAGCCTGCAGCCCAGGGTGTGCAGGGAAGCCCTTCAGGAGGTGCTGCCTGTGTCTGGGACATGCAGCAGTGAGGAGGTGACAGCTCAGTGCCTGCTCTGCATGGCAGCACCCACCAGGGGGGACAGACTAAACAGGAACATCACTTTGATCTGCTGGCTCAGAGTCCAGAACTTGGGTGCTGATTCCTTTGTGCTGGAGGAAGGGAATCCACACACACACACAAGTTCTGATGCTGCTCCTTCCCTGCTCACCCGTGGCAGCTCCAGCTCTGTGAGGAACCATCCACATCCTCCTGCTGCTGCCAAGCCCTGCCCAGGACCCAGAGATCACAGGCTGGGGCTGTTTGATCAGCACATGGGCTGATTTCTAAACCCAAACCTCCTGGGGCTCCTTACATCTCACATTTGCTGCCTGCTCAGGGTGCATGTGCTTTGCAGTTTGAACCTTCCTTTCCAGACAACACACTTTGAACATTTTTGAAGGAAGCTGTGATTCTGCAGCAGACGTGCAATGCCAGCTGGCTCCCTTCAAGAGAAGCACAAAACAGCCCATCTCCTGCAGCATGGATTGATCTGGCACTACTTCTGTCAGCTCAGGAACCTTCTCCAAAATCCTCTGTCGGGCATTAAGAAGCACATTCATGCTGCACCTCTCAGTGGCAGGTCAGCACTGGCAGAGGGGAGAGAATTCTGAGAGCTTGCCTAGTTTTTAGACAGGCAGGTTGAAAGTGAGCACTGAGGAATAAGGAGTTTACTGGCAGGACAAAACCCTTCCCAAAGCACAGACCTTCACCTGAGAGGGCACAGACACACCCACAAGAATAACCTGGTTCTGCTGGTTGTGCTGCTCCCATGGGCAAATGTGTGAACAATTATAAAGAACCAGAGTAAATCCACAGATTATCTGAAATGCATTATCTATAATCAAAAGCATCTAAGATATTATTGTCACCTTGGTCTCAGGCATCTATGCTGTGGGATAAGCTGGTTAAGTTCTCCAATACATTCTTACAAATATCTACTCAAAAATCCCCATTTCAAGCATTTGCCTGTTTTTTGGTCAATTAGATTTTTCCTGATGGAAAGCAAAGATGCATGAGTAACTGCTAATGGAAAATACACCAACCCTGTACAAATGATACTTGCATGAGATACATGAAATTATTGCACTAGAGGGGACTTAATAACAGTTTTTGTAAGTTGAAAGAAACTAAAATTGAGTTTTGATTAAGAAAAGCAGGATGGCTACTTTAACAGAATAATTTAGTCCAAGGAATTGTGGAAAAACAGGATAATATAATCTTCTCTATTTAACTATGCTACTTCCTTTAAAATATCACAGAAAAATATTCTGAATGCTTGGTTTGTGCTCTGTAATTGTCTTTTTAAGGATGATTTGTTTATTTCCAGTGCATACTGGAATTATATTATTATATTATTATATTATTATATTATAATTATGTATAATTATATATTATAATCATATTATGCATACATAATAAATGTATTAATATAAGCAAAAAACCCTTGCACAATTAAATAGGTGCAACAATATTGTATTATTAACTTCCTTTCCAAAAGTGTTTTTCCTGAAAAGCAGGGCTTATACTGGTAAAAGCACAGTTTGTGACTTTTAAAATCTGTTTTCTGACTTGTGGTGTTTAAAGAAAGTTATCAAAGATGATTTAGGTCAGTACCATATCACCATGTCAGGCATAGAAGGGAAACCCTGTATTAGAACCTGCACTCAAAGAAAATTCATATATAACTACACAATTGTTAGGAACTGAAAGTGTTTAGGAGTGGGAAGGAGAAAGTGATGGTGGCATTAAATGTTTAACACTGAACTTTTTGTTGCTGTAAAAGCAGACTGAATTCTCTAACAAATTAATGACTTTCTGTGTGTTTATTGCAGCTCACAGTTTTCTCCCCGTGTTTCCCTGTGGATATAGTTAGCACATCACAATTGCACTGTTTCATTTTATATCTATGGATGCATTCTTATGCACAAGCACTTTCTTTGTGTATTTCATAAGGGTGTATTTGGAAGTGCTGTAAAAACCCAAGCCCTGGAGCATTAAGAAATGATGAGTCTTTGATTCCTTAATAGCCTCTAACTCCACATCGTGCAGCCAGGAGTGCTGTGCTGGAGTTGGAAGCTGTGGGATGTGTTTGGGATGTGCCCCACATCCCCCTCCATGCTGCAGTGCCCCTGGGAGCTCTGGGAGCTGCTCCCAGCCCCTGCCCTGTGCTAGCAGGGTGTGAGTGAGCACTGACAGCTGCTGAGCTGCTGCTCTGTGTGATGATGAGCCCTTGATTCCTTAATAGCCTCTAACTCCACATCCTGCAGCCAGGTGTGCTGTGCAGCAGTTGGAAGCTGTGGGATGTGTTTGGGATGTGCCCCACATCCCCCTCCATGCTCCAGTGCCCCTGGGAGCTCTGGGAGCTGCTCACAGCCCCTGCCCTGTGCTAACAGGGTGTGAGTGAGCACTGACAGCTGCTGAGCTGCTGCTCTGTGTGCCTGGCATGTGGATGGGGTGGGCAGAGGGAATGGGAATAATTCACCATGGGAAAAAGCAGAGGAAATCATTTCACATGTTTTGACTCAGTTCAGATGGCTTTTGCTTGTTAAGCCAGTTCTCCAAGTCACCACAAGCCTGAAAGCAGACAGAGCAGAACAAAAACATCTATAAAACTGATGCAACATAATTCTTCTCTCCCCAAATCTATCCCAGCTTTAAACAGTATTATCAGGCTGTCAGGGAGGCTCAGCAATTGCTGCACATCCCAGGGAGTTGTTATGCCCTACTTGACCCCAGTAATGCCCCACAGTGAACTGAAAAGACATTTAAATGTATGATCCCAAGAAGAACAGGTAAACAGTAGAAAGGCAAAACCGGAAAGCTCTGAGATATACTTTGGTTTTCCTCATTTACCTGGAAGGTGAATCATCATGGAATCATGGAAAGGTTTTGGTTGGAAGGGACCTGTAAGCTCGTATGGTCCAACCCTCCCTGCCACCTTTCACCAGACCAGGTTGCTCCAAGCCCTGTCCAACCTTGAACCCTTCCTGGGATGGGGTGTCTCTGTAATGGATGTGGATGCTCAGGGATGAGGCGTCTCACCATTTTCTTGTGAAGAGGAAGTAGGAGAAATGATGAAACTGGAGGGAGTACCCATCTAACCCCACAGAATCATCAGCCCTAAATCAAAGCAGCCAGATAAGGGCAGGGTGTTCTCACCTCTACCTTATGAATTTCATTATAAAGTAATTTTTCAAATAAAAATAATTCAGAAAGTTATGCTTATAATTTCTCATAATTGATAAAGACAACTAGTGGCAGCTGATAAATTGACTTCTCTAGCAGTTTGTATCACCATCTTTCTCCCTTTCTCAAATAAAAAGTTCTCTGTCCTTCATGAACTCTTTTCATGTCTTGCATTTACCCTTCAACCAAATGTTTGATTACATGACCTCAAAATATGTTTTATCTTTTCAAGATGTAAAAAAATGCATCACCCTGCATTTCACATTGATAACAGGTTGGTAATCTATAAAATATATTAAAAAAAAAGTTGCTCTAAATAAAAAATAACAAAGCAGATCCTAAAAAATGGATATAATTTTTTTTTTTGGTACAGTATTGCCTTTCCTCTCCATCACTACTGATTACCCAAGGCATTGGTCTTTCCAAACACAAGATTTTTCATATTTATTTATCCCATTCCCATTCTAATGCATTCCCTGGTCATGCACCCTGCTGCAGTTCAGGGACACCGTGCTCAGAGATGTGTAAAACATTGCATATTACTTGTAAATCTCGTTCACATTCTGTCTCAAGTGAATTCCAGCCTGTGATTGTAACAGCACAAATCTCCTGCTCTGACACCCAGGAAGGAGCTGGCAGAGAGAAGCCACATTAACCCTGGATGCTGAG